AGTGGCACGCCTGCGCAACTCAAGATCAGGATAGATGGAGCAAGACGATAGGGCCCAGCCCGAGCTCATTTGTTCTTGTCAACTTGATTCAACTTTTAATTTTGTTCAGAAGTTGAAAGAATCATCTTCGCGAGCCAGAAATCCAGTCAGGGCATTGGTGTTGATCCAACGACCTCCTCACTCTGTAGAGCAGCTCGATCCAAGAGCAAACCACAAAGAGAGTGTTGGCGGGAAAAGGAACCAACAGTTGTCTATAGTACTAATTACAAGTTGGACTACATCCGCATCTATTAATTGAAGTTGAGTCTAACAGCAAGCATCTCCTTTATTTATACAGTTGAAAAAAGGAATGAGGAGGAAGATTAACCAAGTTGAGTCTAACAGCAAGCATCTCGTCACGGCTTAAACGTTTTTATTTTATTTTATAGCGTTATATCTTGATATTAGAATATAATATGCCCAGCTTCCAACACAAATATAATGCATTTAATCAAATACAGTTAACGATAATTCAAGAACTTTGTGCTGTGTTTATGTGCGTGCATATTCCCAGTCCCAGATGCCATTGTCAGCCACCGTATCTCTTTTATTTTCTAATCATGGTTACGTTAGCCGTTACGATACTTTGTCTGCTTCTAATTTTGTGCTGCCAAAGGGACGGGACCAACCAAATTCAAAAGTAATTAAAATAATACTAAAGTCGCTTTCCTAGACCCCTTTTCTCCCTTTCTCCTTTCTTCTTGGTCTCTCTTCTCTACAACCCCCCTTTGGTTCGGCTAATAAATCAAGTGACTCTCCCCTAGGGACGGACCCCGGAATTGCAAATCGGATGGGCTAAATTTACCTTAAGTATACAAACCTATTAAAAAAATTTGGCTGGTTTTGGTGGGTTTTTGTAGAATTTTAGGCTTGGACAATACATTGTAGGAACTAAAAACCAGAAGTAAGATTTAGCTCAGCCCAAGCCCTCACTCAACCCCTTCACTCATAGCTGAAAACCCCATTTAAGATCCTCAAACGTATAGCCCAGGTTACTAAGAAAATTCATGCTGGGCTAAATGTTATTTTAGGCTGAGAAAAAATAAAAGCCTCCCAGGCTGTAGCCCAGGTTAGGCTGTACTAAGGTCTGTGCCTACTCTTCCCGTCATATTGTAGAGAAATTTCCTGCATTTAATATAATAAGAAGCAGTATCAAAAACACCAAAAATCATTTTCTTTTACATTGTAAACCAAAGTGCATTTTCTGCTCAAACCTAAGGTTTGACACAAATAAAACTCAAGTAGATCTCCAAAACTTAATTTTCCTTTATTGTATAAAATAAATTCACAGCATTTATGCCTAAATTTGGTATCCAAGTGGTTATAGCTACTTAAGAAAACTAAAGTTGAGCACACTTAATCAAATTCCCACAGCACATTGAAAAAGGAATCATGTCGACCATATATTTTAACAGTAGGTAAAATTTCTACTCTATATTTTTATGGAATCTATAACTGCATAATCTGTTTCTTTGATCCATAAACACACACTTAGCATTTTTGACAAGGAAAACTAAAGAAAAACTAATGCAGAATCATGCTATCACATCTGCCTCAGTTACTAAGCACGCATGGATTGTCAGTATCTATAAGTTTTCTGCGTCCAGAATTTCTGCATAACCATACCAAATGATAATTCAGACTACTCATTATGGTTGATGATGATGGAGACAGTATGAGACTGTGTATGCAATAGAGACAATATACAAGCTTAGCTGATCTAAATTACCATAAAAACATAACTGAAGAAAACCCAACAAGGAAATCAGCACCCCAATCCAAATGCATGCTAAATTTTTGAGTTGCAATTAACTAGACCAGCTGGTCAAGTGCAACAAATCCACTTGAAATAATCCTGTTACTACAATAACATGGTTATTAAAACAAATGAACAAAAGGCATTTTCATTTAAATACCTGTTAGCAGCAGCAGAGGCAACACAAACCCGCCAAGAAATCTCCCCATGAGAGGTCCTTAGAACCAATCCAATCACTTCAAATTCAAAATCCCATCAATTAATGGGTTTTCGATTAACATCAAAATCACGAAAACCCATTTCCCAAAGACTTCGAATTTCCTCAGAAACTCCCAATTCGAATAGAAACAGAAGAAAGCTGGCTGCGCTTTAAAATCGTATATATTTAAAGCGTATAGTCGTGGGGCTATACTATCAGAGGGTATAGCGTTCGGCTATACCATTTAAATATAATATTTTTTGAGTCCAGCCGACTGGCTAGATTCGAATATATTCAAAGCGTATAACCGATCGGCTACACCTTTTAAATATAGTATTTTCAGAGTACGGCCGAACGGCTATACAATTTAAATATTCCAATATATTTGAAACGTATAGCCGCGAGGCTATACTGAGTACAGCCGTTCGGCTATACTCTTATAATATTCGAAAATATTCGAAGAGTATAGCCGTGCGGCGATACGCTGAATTTTTAAAATATTCTAGTTGACCTTTCAATTTGATTAGAGTTTTTTCTCTCTTGCGCATGAGAGAGATGAGCAATTGATTTCTAAAACCCAACTTCAACTGCGCACGACAGAGAGATGAGAATTTTCAATGCTGATTATTGTACCTCCAGCAAAATCCTCTCCCATGATCCTTTGTATTACAGCATCTGTCTTGTGAATCAACTGAAGCCGTGGCCTCGTCCATGAACAAGAGCCTGCTGTGCTTCAACATAACTCGCCCCAAACAGAGAAGCTGTCTTTGCCCCACGCTCCAGTTGTCGCCATCATCAGCCACTTAATTTGATGGAAACAGTCAGTACCTAATCTTAACGCTAGCTAGCATTTCAGTTCCAGAGAGTAAATAATGGGGAGAGTCACATACATAAAGAATTGAGTTCATCAGGTTTTGCAGCTACCACATCTTTAAGTTGGCAGCGTTCAAGGCTCTACAAGAAAATTAAAGATTTAATGTGAATAAAAATACAGCATTGTTTCGTCTAAGCAAGTGAATGATGACGAACATATACAAACAAATTGTATAATTCAATCTTATTGTTTTTTGAGGCTATGGGTTACTCTCTTATGTAATCCGGAAACCAGATAGCATTGTGTTTTTTACCTTCCAAATTTCTTCGTCTGAATAAATTCCTACCGGATCAATGTTGCTTCTCACAGTTCCTTCAAAAAGGACAGGTTCCACTACCCAAAAAAACAAAACCTTTCTTTTCCTTTTTGTTTTCTGGGAGAAATTAAACCAAGAATTTGCAATTTATAATTAATTAATACTTAAAACAGAAAATATTTAATGAGGGACATACTGGTGTAAGCTTGTATAGGACATCACAGTCATTGAATCAATCTTGAACTCAAGTTTGCAAACATAGAGATTAATACAAACTTGTCCAGTAAACGCATACAGATGTGAATAAAGAATCCTTATGAGTTTAGGAATCCTAATCCTATTAATATTGACATAAGTGTACAGATGCTAGGTGTACAAGTTATATTCTAATTGGGTTTCTAATGGGAGAATCCAATCAGATTTTCACCAGCTAACAGTATTAATACAGAGGTCCTTGCCTTCGCAAACATACACACCAAAACAGTACTCGAGCCCCATCGAGAGTTGGTGATCTAGAGCTTGCAGAAGGTAGAAGATCTTTGTGTACCAGAGTTAATTTTTCCGCAGGTTAGTGCTTAATGAGTTAGAGCTTCAGTCATTATTTCGATCTACAACTTGTTGTGGGTTGGAGAAATGCCTTGAAAGAAAACTTTGGTGTTGTTGGGATGAACATTAGAGTTCACCCACTTGGACCAAGTAGTTAATCCCTCCCTACAAGCATCCAAACGATCCATATCCTTGTGCACCTTTCCTCCTGCTTCAATGTAGTCCCACCTTAAACTCCCACATAAAACAATTCAATTATTAGACTATTTAACGTATCATATGTTGTCAGACTAAATAATTTAAGTTATCAAACTATTTAACGTAGAATAATGTTTGAATGTGCACACAACGTGACATGTGTGGTGGAGAACATTAGTGTATACTAAAGTATTTTGAGGTTTGTATGTATCTCACGATTGTAGCCTTCCCGTACGCAGCCACCAATGCCAAGTAGTGAAGATAAGCATGTCGTATCCTTTCCATGTCTTGCCATTTTCAATGGAGTCAAGCTTCAAAACCCTGCCCATTTTTGTTTTGACTAGATCCACTAGAAACTGATTTCGGGATAGAGACACAGAAACTCCATAATCCTGCAAAATTCACATCTTATAAGCCTGGGTCGGTCTTTTGTCAACAAAATCAAAAGATCCACTCCATTATATAAATATATGATAAATGGAATGGATTAAGTCAATAAGTTTTTTTGATTGATTTAGGACGCAGACAACTCACAGGCAAATAAAATGTGGAGAGGCCACCTTGTGATTTTAAGAAGGTTAGATACTGAAGGATTCATGTTAGAGTGAGTATTAATCTAGCCAAGAAATTCCGTCCATTGATATTTTTCGTAACATGGAAATAAGGTGTTTGATGGAGTATCTCGCAGTTAATTGTATTTTTTTCCCTTACGAAAAAAAAGTTCATGGATACGTCATTATGGTTACGTATGTAAATGATTCTGCTTGCACATATAGGTTGCACCATCTGCATTAAGGGGGATCACAAATGACGTTTCAAAACAAAAAATTAAGATCACAAATGGGTTGGAACTTGGATTTGGCTAAAAGAATTAGTTCAATTTATCCTTGTCAGGCCTTTACCAAAAGGGTTCAATTCTAAATTAGTTCACAAATGCTCCTTTTAGCATTATTGCCCTACTATTGTCCACTTGGGGTCGTTGGAGCATTGGAAGGGCTACCAAGATGTGTGTGTATTATTCTTTCAGCTATCTTGCCGAACAAAAAATATATTTGTGTGTGTATTTAGAGAGGGAGTAGAAATGATATATGAACATATATGTTTGAGAGTGAAGAAAGTTTGCTCAGTTTCTCTATTTTCTGTTGTCCCAGTAAGTTGAATCAGGCTTGACTGGATAGAGATCATCAGCAGATGAAGACGGACCGGTCCAGGTCCCTTCAGTTGGCGCAGTTTGTGTCTGGCTCTTGCCGGTGTTCCTTCCGAAACTGGATTGAAAATGCTTCCTCATTGCTTCGATCTCAAGACTTGAGGCATTTGGGTCTGAGACCAATTCATGAACAGCAGCCCTGCCTTCAAGCATGCTCACAACTGAAGACATGGTAGGCCTAACTGTTGCAGTGACATTGCAGCAGAGGAGAGCCACATTGATTGTAAGCATAATCTCTTCTTCGTTGAAGTCTGAGCCCAACCTTGGATCCACTAGTTCCATCAAATTCCCTTGCCCTTTTAGTAGTTGTGCCTAGAAACATATATTGTCAGAGATAATTTGTCTTTACAAATAATTTCACTGATCTTACATATGTTGTCAGAGAAGATAATGTCAAATGAAGCCAGACTTGATTTTGGATCATCATTAAAACTATTGCACTATCAGTCACTTTCTCTCAGCCGCAAACATAGAATAGAAATCAACAGTATCAGATTAAATTTAACTTTAAATAAGGAAGCAGTAGAATCGTGTTACCCAATCAAGAAGATAAAAGCTTTTTTCCTTTCCTCTGTAAGTGGTGTTGTTCCTCCCACTAACAATTTCCAATACAAGAATTCCAAAGCTATAAACATCTGCTTTATCAGTCAGATAACCCCGCATTGCATATTCAGGCGCTATATATCCACTGCAAAAAATGGCTCATCATTTCCCCATATTTAGCTTAGCAAAATACTAAAATACTACAAAGTTTCTTTAACAGTACAGATCTAGTTAAGTTTGAAACTTATAAAAAGTAGAGAAACCTCCATCAGTTTCCTATTTCTATGGACCCATCGTCGGGGTGGAAGAAATCAAAATAAAAGTATAAGAATAAAAAAATAGCGCAGGGACTCACTAAGTTCCAGCAATACGGGTGCTAATGTGTGTATTATCCTCTTCATCAAGCTTGGCCAATCCAAAGTCAGATATCTTTGGGGTAAGATTTTTATCAAGAAGCACATTACTAGCCTTGATGTCTCTATGAACGACCTTCAATGTTGATTCCTCGTGAAGGTAAGCTAAACCTCTAGCTATACCAACACAGATCTTGTGCCTTGTTGGCCAATCCAACTTCAACTGACTTTCTTCTGGCCCTTCAATTTGTCAAATTACTCAAAGTTAATAAGGGACATATTTTTTATGTATAAGATCTTTTATACCCATCTGCATGAACCAAGTGAAGTTTTGGCATACGAGAGCAATATTTACCAAACAAAGCACGAGCAAGGCTATTATTTTCCATGTACTCATAGACAAGCAATAGTTGATTTCCTTCAATACAGCATCCGTGAAGCTTGACAAGATGAGGGTGTTTCAGAGCAAAAATCGTGCCTATCTCATTCACGAATTCACGATTCCCTTGCTTTGATTTGGAAGAACGCTGCTTGACAGCAATTACGGTGCCATCTGATAGAAGGCCCTGCATTTGAGATACAAAGTCAAAATCCCTTCACTAAAAAGCAGAGCAACTTTAATAACAATGCTTACAATTAATCAAGTAAGCCCCAATGCAATAAATAAATAGAAATATTGGTTCCGCAGAATACCTTGTAAACAGAACCAAAACCACCTTCTCCAATCTTATTGGCTTCGTCAAAGTTGTTTGTGGCAGCTTGGAGTTGCCTGAAGCTAAATTTACCTGTTTGCAGGTCCACGCCCTTTAAATCTGTGTAAGAAGCAAACTCATATAAGAAATTGTGTCTACACGAATTTCATAATGGTAGCATTTTTATTTCTTAATATCACGCGGCTGATTCAAGGCCTAAAAAGTTCAATATCCAAATAAATATCAACTTACAGAGTGGGCCTAAATATACAGGAAAGTACATACAAAATAATAGCATAAACTGTACGTACCATCCTCCAAATCATTTTGTTGTCCTTGGAGGCCTCTCCTCCGAAGAATACTCCTCCAAAGAATACCAAAAATCAGTAATATAATGAAGACTCCTCCAGCCACAATTCCAACTACTGCAACTACAGATATGCGACGTCTACGCGATGCAGGTGGGGGTGGAGAGTCGGGTGGTGGGGGTAGAGAGTCTGGTGGTTGGGGTGGATAGTCGGGTGGTGGGGGTGGATAGTCAGCTAGTGCGGGTGGAGAGTCGTCTGGTGGGGGTGGATAGTCGTCAGGTGGGGGTGGAGAGTCGTCAGGTGGGGGTGGAGAGTAGTCAGGTGGGAGTGCGGAGTAGGCTGATAGGGATGTGGAGTTGGCTGGTGGGGGTTCAGAGTCGGCTGATGGGGGTGCAGAGTCGGCTGGAGCTTCTTGTTGGGGTACAGAGTCTGGAGCTTCTTCTGGGGGTACAGAGAAGGCTGGAAGACGAATAGCTTTATTAGGGTACATGCAAATGTAATAGATAAGAGAGTGCAATATTCAAGCAATGCACAAAGAAAAAAAAAAGATTCAACGTAAGTAGATAGTAAACGAAATTTTTTAGTTTGTTTTTGTGATTTGTGATTTGACTAATTATTTGTAAGGATAATACAACACCCACAAAGAAAATAATATGAGTTGAGTAACATGAGCAGAGATCATAAATATGAACATCCACATATACCCACACATACATATATGAATTACTGGCTTAGTAATTTCCACTAACTCACGAGCTGAGACCTCAGAGGAGATGAGGATCACAAGAGAAAACATAAAGCGAAGAAGAAGAAAAGTCTGGGAGGATGATGCCATGTTTTTCTTAACAACACAATTAAGGTGAAGACAAGATTGTTGAGCAAACTTAATGTGGCTTGGCCTCAACCAATTTATAGACGGACAATGCTTCTCTTCCCTTGGAACTCTTTAGAAGAAATTTTCAGCCCCTTTCTCTTCCCATCGCTGCTCCTCCTTCATCATCTTGTTGGTGGTGGAGAGATCCATTATTGAGCTGCTTGGAGAGATCCATCATCATCACCCAAATACTATGTATTGATTTCTCTCTTTTTTATTTTTTTATTTTATTGAGTTACATACACACACTAAGCGAGCAAATTTTTGACACAAAGACATTTCTATTGTGTTGGTTTGCAGGGCCTCAACTTTTCATTCAAGACACAACTTCAAAATCGCGTTGTTTTTTTTTTTTTAATTAATAATCATAATAATTAAAAAGGCAAACATGTTATTTTATGTAACTAATAATCATCACCAATATCTCTCCTTGGCTCTCTTTTTTAATCCTTTGACAAATTTTTTTTTTCAATTTCAAGGATTTCAACACAAAAAATCGACCAAAAAAATTGATAAATGGTGACCTCAAGTCAGGGGCGGCCCTGAGGGTGTGCAAGTGGTGCCACCGCACAGGGCCCCCGAAATTTTTTATGTGTATAATATATGAATATATTAATAAATGTTATATATATACACACACTAAGCGAGCAAATTTTTGACACAAAGACATTTCTATTGTGTTGGTTTGCAAGGCCTCAACTTTCATTCAGGACACAACTTCAAAATCGCGGTGTGTGATTTTTTTTTTTTTTTTTTTTAATAATCATAATAATTAAAAAGGCAAACATGTTATTTTATGTAAGTAATAATCATCACCAATATCTCTCCTTGGCTCTCTTTTTTAATCCTTTGACAAATTTTTTTTTCAATTTCAAGGATTTCAACACAAAAAATCGACCAAAAAAATTGATAAATGTCACTCAAAAGCAAATAGTCATATTTAAATCTGAATTCAAATTCAAGTATGTATCTAAATTTCAATTTATATATACTAAATGACTTACTTCATTATCATGTTGCACTGTGCACCCGAGTTTGATTCACGTAAAAGACAATCTTGAGGCAACCCAATATAATACTCCCCCATTTCCCTCCCTATCAAATGAATAAAATAAAATAAAAAAGATCAATTTGCAAAAAGTAGAATAAAAATTATAGTTGAAAATTTATTACGTACATGACCAGTAAAATTTCTTTGAAAAACAAAGTCATATGTAGGGCCGGTCTTGAGATTTTGAGGGCTCTGTAAACTGGGGCCTCACATAAGATAATACAAACTTACACCATTATGTAATGCCACACAATAAATGTTTTTTTTTCTTAAAGTGACCAAAGTACCCCTACTCCCAAGGGCAAAATTGAAATTTCACAAAAGAATTAAATTTGATTAAATCGATTAAATTGTATCAGGGATGTTACACCTTTTGAATGATCACCATGATTGTGACGATGAGTCTTTGTCGTAATAGATCATATTCAGATATTAAATATTTTTAACACCTAATTTATTTTGTATCAATATTCCAAGAACATCATTAATTGGATGTGACTTTTTTGGTTGAGTTAGTTGGATGCATTATTTTTGCAAAAATTAATATCTTTTTAACACCTAATTTATTTTGTATCAATATTCCAAGAATATCATTAATTCGATGCAACTTTTCTGGTTGAGTTAGTTGGATGCATTATTTTTGCAAAATTAAATATCTGAGCATATATAAAAACAATTGTGAACCACTTTACTAACTACATTTTTAATTGAGGTGAGCCCTATATATGGAAGTCTTATCTCTATGGGCACTTGAAAAAAAAAATCTACATGAGTAATTGAAGAGCTAGCATCAAGTCAACGATGGGGACGTACGCACGTGACAAACAATGTCTGCACATAGGAATATAGATATTATTGGGGCAATTAGAATATACTTGCCAAAGAGATAGAAAGAACTCCTAGTGGCTCCTTATAATTTAATGATGTTTCGTTTTATGCATAGTTTAAACTTTTAATTAATACAAACTATATTTGTTTTTTATAGAGATGATAACCAATCATATTGAATTAAAAATAACTATAGTATTTATGACTTTATGACTTAGGGAGTATGATTGGAGTTCAAATTTTATAGAGTTCCTAAAATAACTTTTGTGTGTTTTTAGCTAAATTTTAACTAAATAATAAGGAGCATGACCTTTGCCTACATAATTACTGACTAATTCCTTGTGATTGGATATTTATTATTTCAGTATATGGTTGTGAAAGTAGCTGGGATATTGAATGTTGGTGATGACATTGGACAAACTGCTTTAAACAGTGGTTGCAATATTTTGTGATTGACAGACAGCAGAACTGTTCTTATCTTTCAACAAAAACAATAAGTTTCAAAAAAACAAACCAAAATTTTAATTTGACCCTAATTGTCATTATGGTGGTTTTGCTACTAGCTAGGTCACATTTGCATATGACCAGGGGTGGCCCTGTTGATTACTTGGACCTTAATTATGAATGGTGATTCAAATTAAAGAAGTTCTAAGCTCATCTAGT